CCGAGTGAGCAGCATCGAGCCAGCCATGCCCATCCAGCCATGCCCATCCAGCCATGCCCACCTGGCCACTGTGAGTTGTCATAGTCTTACATGTAACTGGCCCTTTGAGGGCAACCGTAATGCTGATGCGGCCCTCAATGAAATTGAGTTCGACACCCCTGCTATAGGGTCTCCTTCTTGAGCAGGGGGTTGGACTAGAAGACCTCCAAGGTCCCTTCCAACTCCATTATTCTGTACTCTAAGTACATCCTAATATTTACACGTTGTTGAAATATAGACAGCAGCATCAAGTATTTCCATGAATAGTTAAAATCTTCAGTTGCTGTCCCGATTATTTGCAATGTCTGCTTGATTTTGCTACGGACTTAAGAACTCTGACCATTTCAGACATGCAGATCAGTTGATAAATTTCAGTTGTATTAAATGCAGAATTTTCCCTTCGTGCGATGGGGCTTACATTCTGAAAACAAAGCTGCCCCACATTAAATTGAAGGATTAAAAAAAAAATCTCCTTACAACTGAGCTTTGGTAAGTGTTCACTGTTCCTGAGATAAGGCATTCCTCTGGAGTTCCTTTCAGAAACTCTTGCAATTCTCATAGCCGTGCAATGTTTTTGTGGTAGATACCACTGCAAACGAGGTAAGCCAAAGATTTTTTTTCAGTGTTATTCTTAAATGATGCAACCTTTGCTCTTTTAAAAAAAGTCTTAGTGTGGGAATGTTGCTGGTTTTGTAATGTGGCAAGTATCAGATTGAATATATTTGGATACAAACCTCAGAAATTTTAAACCTCTAGATAATTCTGCAGTGAAATAGAAGATATCCCTACTTAAATTGCAGTGATTTATTTAAAAACAATTTTTTGCATTACCTAGTATTTTGCATTACATAATCATTGTAAATGCAAGGTACAGACTTTTCAAAACCAATTCATAAGATTTTTTTTGGCAGCCAATTAAAAGGATGCTTGCATAAACAAATATAACTAATCAATTAAAATGCAAGGTATGAGGCACCATTGGTAACTATTGTATGTAATAGTCTGGAGGTAATTGATTATTTTATAGAGGTGTAGTTCTCTATAGAAGTGTTGTTCAACAGTATTCTTGATTTTGGGAATATAATTCCAAATAACATTGCAATAAGAGAATTGTCTTCATTATCTCATCTTTGATGTTACTAATGTGTTTCTCACCAGTCCTTTACAACATTTTCCTACCTAGCTTATGAAATGTTTAGCAATTCTACAAATACACATTTATTTCTCGTAAAATATCAAGTGAATGATACAAAGAACAATTCCCAATATTCTTTTACCTCCAGTAGGCCTTAAAGTATTTTTTCTTTACTTAAATCTTGAAAAGTTCCTCACATCAGACTTAGAAACACAGATGGCCTGGGCCAATACACCTTATCTATTGAGAAACTTTACGTGTACTAATCATGGTGGCTGATCATTTAAAAATGTATATATTTCTCCTAAATGAAGAGTAAATACATGTGCTTAATATATACATATCCTCGGGCATATTTGGCTGGATAGCTACATCTTCAGGATAACTATCAACAAATAGTGCCCTTAGGTCATGAAAACAAAATGACTCTTAACATTCCAGTTCATAAATGTCATGTATGCTGCTGGTGTTGCTTCAGCTGTCCAATCTAATATAAAACTTTCTTCTAGCTAGGGCCTCACGAATTATCTTTTTCGTAAAGGAGACATTGCATTTTTAACCACCTAGAAAACTGTTAACAAAACCTAACCATAACCAATCCTAGAACATATCGTAACAATATTTGTATGCAGTGTGCACACTTATACACTTTCTCAACATGTACTATTTCTCCTTATTGAATGACACTTTTAGCACCTGGAATACATTGGGATGGATGAAGCAGTGCAAACAATGCAGCTTTTAAAGTTCAGGTTATTCCTGCTATGTCGTGTGTAGGATCTCTGGCTAAGAGACAGTGATGGCATGCAGGAATGAATCTGATAAGACCCTTCAGTCCCCTACGCCACTATTTTAGCCAAATCATAGTCCATATAATCATTTCAAAATGGAAGCTAAGAGGCTGACATATAGAATAAGAGGGAACAGCTCCCTTCGCTGACTGGTTTGGAGCATTAACAGGAAGCATTTGGCTCATGCATTCCTTCTCCCTTTCCTTCCCTCATCTCAATGTTTTGTTATTCATTTGATTGCAACAAACTCTGCTACTGAGGTGACAAACTAGATTGAACAAACTTAATGAGAATTGCCAATCTCAGCTTGATTTGAGTTGGCCCTCATCTGGAAAATTCTTTTCTCACCACAATATCCTGGCTACAATATGGTGCAAACTATGATTTTGATAAATCTCAAGTGTTCTATTAAAGCAAACATTTAAGCAGGAAAGATGAAACATGGACACAGACATAACAGAATAACATTTTTGATGCATACAGCCAATCACCCTTCCAGTGATAGAAAAAATGTTTACTGGAGTCTCTGTACTGTATATTGCATTGGAACAAATTTAGTTCACGCTCAGGTTCTAAAAACTAATATTGCAAACTGATCCTATTTAGATATTGGATTGTGATAGCTGCAGTAAATATTTTGGAAGCTTGCACATATAAGTACAATTAATGTTTTATACCTTTTCAAAAATATAGTTAGCATCCTTAAAATGCCAAGATCTCTACCACTGTGTAACTAGCCAATATCTGGAATTTAAAGGGAGCACACTTGTTTTTGTTTTGTTTACAGTTTTGATAGTTAAAAAGATCCATGGCCTGCTGATTGTAGAAATCCTACCCAAAGCAAAAGTAGGTCACAAACTTAGTTAAGAGTAGTTAAGAATAGCAACAAGTCAGTTCCCATGTCTTCAAATGGGATTTATAATTTAATTAGAGAAGATTATACTTAATGTAATCCACAAGTCAGATGTTGGTACAGCCTGTCATAAAAGAAGCTTTCTAAAATAATCTTTATTTCTGAGTTAGCTAACAATGCATTCCTATGTATAATAATTTAAAACTGCATAGAATACCAGAGGTAAATGTATATAAAACTGCAGCCTATAGGATTGCAATTACACGCACACTTACTGGAAGTAAATAACATTTCACTGAGTGGAATTTAATTTTGAATGGCCATGTGGAGGATTACGCAAGGATTATGTTCTAATTTGTTTAGATCTACATTTCAAAAGTGCATTTATTCTTTGTTGGATATGCAATCCTTAGGAAGATGTTCAGGAAGAGGATACATTTTTCCATGTCTAATGATCTATAATTTGTCTTTGGAAATTTCAAAGAAAAAAAAATCTAAAAATACTGTAACAATCCTATAGATGGACATCAGGTACACAATTATTATGATGGTTTCATTGTATGGCAATGCTATCATTAAAAAAGTGAGAAAATATTGCTAGCGATGAGTTTTAGTACATACCTGCATTTATATACTCACAAAGTTCATCTCTGATTTTTCCTTTATTGCTATTCATTGGAGTATGACATTCAAATGTCACCAACCTAAGGAATCTTACTTTCATACTTACGATCAGTTCTGCCATATATTTTAGCCTTTTCACTTGTAGTACAACTTTTGCAGTCATAATTCCATAAGGCTGTCCTCTTTCAAATCTATTGTTTCCTTTTCTCTTTGTTCATAATCACTTTTTCCTTTCCTTTCCCCCTTATCCAAGCCAACCTAAGCTATTCCTTCAGGCTCTTCGATATTTACTCCATGTACATAGAAGTCACAATCTTCCATAACAACATAATGCTTGTCACCATACTCTATGACTTTTTGCTGCCTATCATGGCTTTGGTCAGTCAAAGCTTTCACATAAGGCTTCCTGATATTACAGATAATATGTAAATTAGGTAATCAGCCATACCTATGGCAAATGCAGAATTTCCAAGTATCAGCAAGGACACTACCAATCCATTTTGGCATACGTTTGACAGTATGTGATAAATGCAACCAAAGCCAAGTTGTACTCCAAACATACACATTAATTTATGTGGGAGCCTTAGAGGTTACCTAGAAAATCGCTGTAACATTGCCTTGATGAGTATATTACACCAACTAGTCTCCTGAGACGCATTTAGGGTATGCCATAAGATGGTTATATACTTCTTTACACAGGATAGTCCCCTGACTGAATGTACCCTAAATTTTAGGGAGTGAGGATCATTTGCCTTCTGAATTTTGTTGGACTCCATCAATCATCAATCTCAGTGGACAGGAAGTTGCAGGCCAATAATTTTTGAAGAGCCACAGTTTCAAACATTAAACAGTCCAGTTTAAAAACCGTAAAGGGATCAAGAAAGCAAAACACTTGATGCGCCCATCAGCATCTTACACCTTGACAATAGATGGAGCAGATATGGTTACTTGGCCATAGTCATTCCCACAAGGTGAGATAAGCGTATTTCTATTTCAATTATAGCAAATATCTTGACATGTATAACTGTACCTGTAAAATATTGTTGCAAAATATATGCATATTTATACTTTTGTTCTCTCTCTCTCTCTCCTTCTCCCTTGTTGATCTGTAAGTGGCCTTCCTAGTACATAATGAAAACTGTAACATAAAAGAAGGTTAACCTACTAACCAGTTGATTATTCTGCAATCTGCTGCTCTCAAACTCATGTTGAAGGTAGTCCATCTGAGGTGCAGGGGGGGGGGCGGTCATCTGGCAGATGAACAAAATAATCCTACCCCAAACATAGCATAAACTATTTTGCAATTCATGGAGGGGAAAAACAGACCAAGTCACTTCTGAAACCCTATAGTTTTGTGACTGGGTCCAGATGCAGATATGCAACACATTTAAAAATTTCAATTCAGCAGCTTCATACCCACATAGGAATCTCTGCTAATCAATTCATTTATTTTTAGGATTCAGAGGCTTATGTGAGAAGATAATAGCAACATATTTTTGGTCTCCAGACATCAAATGATTTTTGGTCCTCAACCTTGCGATGTGGTCACTGCCTCAGAATGAGTTTCTTCAGAAAGGTTAGACTTCTTCTATGGAAAAACTGGATACTCCGCAAACGGCAAAAAGTAAGTACTTAATGCATATCTACAAAAGATAAAACAGATATGTATGCTTCAAACTCTTTTAAAGAAGCATAATTAGATTCAAATACCCTTCATACAGGTAGTCCTCGACTTACAATAGTTCACTTACTGACCAAAGTGACAGTGGCACTGAAATAAAGTGACTTATGACATTTTTCACACTTATGACAGTTGAACACAGTTCCCATGGTCACATGATTTACATTTGGATGCTTGACAACTGACTCACATTTATGACAGTTGCAGAGTACTCACTTTCTGTGACCTTCTGACAAGTAAAGTCAGTGGGGAAACCAGATTCACTTAACAATTGTTTTACTAATTTAACAACTGCAGTGATTCACTTAACAAATGTGACAAGAAAAGTTGTGAGGCAAAACTCATTTAACAAATTTCTCACTTGGCCACATAAATTTTGAGCTCAGTTGTGGTGGTAAGTTGAGGACTGTATTCCATAAGTTTTAAAGGTAAAATGAGATGTGCTTTTGTGATTAATCTGTTCTGATGAAATATTTTAATTTGAAGTTTGGAATAGTTGATGTACTAAATTAATTTGTTACAGAAGGCCTCCCTGAGAAAGAAGGCTGAACCTACCCAACTTCAGTGCATCAATGTAGAAAATTCTAGAGAGATTCATTTCCTCTTGACGCCCTGTTATACACTGACTCTAATAGAACACAGGGCTGGAAGATAAAAATAGCCAGTGGACTTTTCCTGCAGGAAGCAACTGTCCAAAGATTTCAATCTTTTCATCTGGTGTGGTTCTTCAAAGAGCAGGAGTTTGTTATGCAAGTGTCTCTAGTCCAAAGCATACCAGACCAGATCATTTGAAGGCTATAGATTAAACTGTAGGATTTGAAGGAATTAAACTCATCTTGAAATTGACAAAGTCTTTGGATATTTGGATATTTTCAATGCACTGTACATTTCATACTCTGCAGAAGTGCATTACAGTGGTTTATTGTACTTTTACTGGAGGGAAGGGAAGAGAAAAGTGGCTTGGGAGAAGGAAAAGAATTCATGTTTTGGACTAAATGACAAAATATTATTTTTGATTGAGTGATTGATTTAAAACATTTATATAGCTGCCCCATCTTCTGGGCAGCTCCCAATCAAAGTTAAAACAACATATAAAACTGTATTAAAGCTATAAAATGAAACAGATTAAAACTTTAAAAACAATAACAATGTTTAAACAGCAAACAAAGCAGTGAATGATGGAACTAGCAAATCCTATCTGGAAAATAAATAATGGCAAGCCAGAGGGAAGAGGGTTGGGACTATACTTTTGGATATACCCGTACCTGAGGCCATACCTTAGAGACACAGCATTTCACCAATTCACTTTTAAAAGAGGCCATGAGGCTATGCAATTTTACACACCTTGTTGGTACAGAGAAACCCCACTTCAATTTTGAATACAAACTGGTGATAGAACAATGATTAAAATTGGGATGGAGTTAATGGAAGAACTAATTCGCTAGTTATTATATTTCCTTGGCATAGATAAGACTAGTCAGGACAGTACCTTTAACTACTACTGAAGCTGTTCTGATCTACTGGATTTGTAATATGACAATTTACAACAGCCAAGAAATTAATTTTGAAGAGAGGCAAGTTGAAAACTCTGCTCTTTTATTATCCTGGATATTGTGTACTAGTGGGCTTCAGTAGGCAAGAAGCAGACCAGCATAGTTGCAACAACATTTATTGACTCAAAACTGGAACTAAGGAACAGTAGGCAAATGCCTGTAATTTATACTCTAGGCCCACAACGCCTTAACCAATCATAATACTCGAAAAAGCCCTCCAAATATGAATGTTTTAATTTTCCCTCCAAAACAGTTGGAGTTAACAGTTAGGATCATCTAAAGCTAAGTTTCAATTTGGCAGGGCTTAACACACACACGCACACACACACACACACACACACACACACACACACTATGTAATATGACAATTTACAACAGCCAAGAAATTGATTTTGAAGGGAGGCTTAGAATTAGATTCTATCTATCTATCTATCTATCTATCTATCTATCTATCTATCTATCT